TGCCCATTTCTTCCAGGTTGTCCAATTTATTGGCATAGAGTTGCTTGTAGTAATCTCTCATGATCCTTTGTATATCTGCAGTGTCAGTTGTTACTTCTCCTTTTTCATTTCTAATTCTATTGATTTGAGTCTTCTCCCTTTTTTTCTTGATGAGTCTGGCTAATGGTTTATCATTTTTTTTTATCTTCTCAAAGAACCAGCTTTTAGTTTTATTGATCTTTGCTATTGTTTCTTTCATGTCTTTTTCATTTATTTCTGATCTGATCTTTATGATTTCTTTCCTTCTGCTAACTTTGGGGGGGTTTTCGCTCTTCTTTCTCTAATTGCTTTACATGTAAAGTTAGATTTTTTATTTGTGATGTTTCTTGTTTCTTTAGGTAGGATTGTATTGCTGTAAACTTCCGTCTTAGAACTGATTTTGCTGCATCCCGTAGGTTTTGGGTTGTTATGCTTTCGTTGTCATTTGTTTCTAGGTATTTTTTGATTTCCTCTTTGATTTCTTCAGTGATCTCTTGGTTATTTAGTAGTGTATTGTTTAGCCTCCATGTGTTTGTATTATTTACAGATTTTTTTCCTGTAATTGATATCTAGTCTCATTGTGGTTGGAAAAGACTTGATATGATTTCAATTTTCTTAAATTTACCAAGGCTTGATTTGTGACCCAAGATATGATCTATCCTGGAGAATGTTCCATGAGCACTTGAGAAGAAAGTGTATTCTGTTGTTTTTAGATAGAATATCCTATGAATATCAATTAAGTCCATCTTGTTTAATGTGTCATTTAAAGCTTGTGTTTCTTTATTTATTTTCATTTTGGATGCTCTGTCCATTGGTGAAAGTGGGGTGTTAAAGTCCCCTACTATGATTGTGTTACTGTTGAATTCCCTTTTTATGGCTGTTAGCATTTGCCTTATGTATTGAGGTGCTCCTATGTTGGGTGCATAAATATTTACAATTGTTATATCTTCTTCTTGGATTGATCCCTTGATCATTATGTAGTGTCTTTCTTTGTCTATTGTAATAGTCTTTATTTTATTTTTATTTATTTATTTTTTTTGCAGTACACGGGCCTCTCACTGTTGTGGCCTCTCCCATTGCAGAGCACAGGCTCCGGACGCACAGGCTCAGCAGCCATGGCTCATGGGCCCAGCCACTCCATGGAATGTGGGATCTTCCCAGACCGGGGCACGAACCCGTGTCCACTGCATCGGCAGGCGGACTCTCAACCACTGTGCCACCAGGGAAGCCCAATAGTCTTCATTTTAAACCCTATTTTGTCTGATATGAGAATTGCTACTCCAGCTTTCCTCTGATTTCCATTTACGTGGAATATCTTTTTCCATCCCCTCACTTTCAGTCTGTATGTGTCCCTAGGTCTGAACTGGTTCTCTTGTAGACAGCATATATACGGGTCTTGTTTTGTATCCATTCAGCCAGTCTATGTCTTTTGGTTGGAGCATTTTATCCATTTACATTTAAGGCAATTAATGATATGTACGTTCCTGTGACCATTTTCTTAATTGTTTTGGGTTTGTTATTGTAGGTCTTTATCTTCTCTTGTGTTTCCTGCCTAGAGAAGTTCCTTTAGCATTTGTTGTAAAGCTGGTTTGGTGGTGCTGAATTCTCTTAGCTTTTGCTTGTCTGTAAAGGTTTTAATTTCTCCACTGAATCTGAATGAGATCCTTGCTGGGTAGAGTAATCTTGCTTGTAGGTTTTCCCCTTTCATCACTTTAAATATGTCCTGCCACTCCCTTCTGGCTTTCAGAGTTTCTGCTGAAAGATCAGCTGTTAACCTTATGGGGATTCCCTCATATGTTATTTGTTGTTTTTCCCTTGCTGCTTTTAATATTATTTTCTTTGTGTTTTATTTTTCATAGTTTGATTAATATGTGTCTTGGCGTGTTTCTCCTTGGATTTATCCTGAATGGGATTCTCTGTGTTTCCTGGACTTGATTAACTATTTCCTTTCCCCTATTAGGGAAGTTTTCAACTATAATCTCTTCAAATATTTTCTCAGTCCCTTTCTTTTTCTCTTCTTCTTCTGGGACCCCTGTAATTCAAATGTTGGTGCGTTTAGTGTTGTCCCAGAGGTCTCTGAGACTACCCTCAATTCTTTTCACTCTTTTTTCTTTATTCTGCTCTGTGGTAGTTAGTTCCACTATTTTATCTTCCAGGTGTCTTATCCTCATTTATTCTGCCTCAGTTATTCTGCTATTGATTCCTTCTAGAGAATTTTTAATTTCATTTATTGTGTTGTTCACCATTGTTTGTTTGCTCTTTAGTTCTTCTAGGTCCTTGTTAAAAGTTTCTTGTATTTTCTCCGTTCTATTTCCAAGATTTTGGATCATCTTTACCATCATTACTCTGAATTCTTTTTTAGGTAGACTGCCTATTTCCTCTTCATTTGTTTGGTCTGGTGGGTTTTTACTTTGCTCCTTCATCTGCTGTGCATTTCTCTGTCTTCTCATTTTGTTTAACTTATCGTCTTTGGGGTCTCCTTTTCACAGGCTACAGGTTCGTACTTTCCATTGTTTTTGGTGTCTGCCCCCAGTGGGTAAGGTTGGTTCAGTGGGTTGTGTAGGTTTCCTGGGGGAGCGGACTGGTGCCTGTGTTCTGGTGGATGAGGCTGGATTTTGTCTTTCTGGTGGGCAGGACCATTTCTGATAGAAATTGCATTAAATCTATGGCTCAATTACAGGAGTTTTGCCATTTTAACAGTACTGAAGTCTTCCTCTCCATGAACGTTGATTCTTTTCATTCATTTAAATCTTCTCCCATTTCTTTCAACAATGTTTTATACTTTTCAGAGTATAAGTCTTTCATTTCTATTGTTAATTTTATTCCTAAATTTATTCTTTTTTATGCTACTTTAAATGAAATTAGTTTAATTTTTGGATTGTCCATTGCAAGTATATAGAAATATAACTGATTTATGTATATCAATCTTGTATCCTGAAACCTTGCTGAACTCATTTATTAGTTTAAATAGTTTTTTAGTGGTTATTTACAATTTCTATATAGAAGATTATGCCATCTGTGAATATAGTTTTATTTCTTCTCTTCCAGCCTACGTGCCTTTTATTTCTTTTTCTTGCCTAGATGCCCTGCCTAGGATGTTGAATAGAAATGGCAAGAGTGGACATCCTTGTCTTGTCCTTGATCTTATAGGGAAAACACACATTTAAAATTTTTTTCAAAGCCTTTCTCTAACTCCACTCTCCTGAGGCTTTTACTTTTATGTAATCCTAAATTGTTTTAGAACCATATGACTTTTTAAAAATCACATCCTGAGCAATATCTGTGAGGTACCCTAACACCTCACGTTGGAATTTCATGTCTGTTATATATGGCCACCTACAGCAAGCCTTCAATGTAACATCATCATACACCCTGTTACAGAATTAGTCACCATAAATTTGGCCAGATACAGGCCATTCTAGAAAAGAGGAAACAGATAAATCTTTATTTCTTCCCATGGACTGTGTGCACTTAAAGCAGCGACATGTTGGTGAGAGATGTCATCTTTTTTCTCAGTCTTGGGTGAAATACCTGTGTTGCATACCATTTTCCCTCCTGTGGATCAAACGCATCATGGTTGCTTACGTTAAAGGAATGTTTATATTCAGCTAACACATAGAAACACGTGGGGGTATGTACCGGTAGTTATTAGGCAATGTAAGTAACTGTTTCTACTGGGAAACCCAGAAAATGTCTGTTTGTATGAATGGCATGTTTTAGTGTGCCTTCCTCATCACTGCTCCAGATAGGCTCCTGTACTTATACCCAAATTAAGCACCTTGGCTACTTCCCCTTTTTGGGTTTTGGAGAACATTACATCAGATGAGTTGATGTGGACATCTGCTAACCAGGTGAAGCTGGGTTTCAGTCCAGTTTTCCAGATAACACTGTCCCAATTGCCACAGGTTTTGGTAGCTTGTTCTTTGAAAGGACTGGGAATGCTTCTGAGCAGAACCAGAGTGTGTGGTTGGTGGAGGATCACAAAAAGAAGTTTCATTTTCATTTTCTTAGTGACAAATATTTACAAAGAATGGGAATTTGGTCAAGTACAAAAAGTGTGCCTTGTGAATGCTGTGGATAAAATGTATTCCTATTAGGGAGAGCAGCAATATCAAACTACCTGAGTCCCAAACCCCAGGAGTGTGCAGTGTTTTTATTTTTAGGATACAGCGTAGGTATAGAGCAAATGGTGGATGGTTTCATACCACGTGCTTAGACCTAGCAAGATATTGGAATTGTTCAGACCTCTTACTCAGAGACTTTTGAGAGTAAGAACGAGTAAGGAGGATAAAATTGCACCGCTTTTATGTCAAGAGACGAGAAGTGTAACAAATGCCTAGGATCAACTAATTGGGACAAAGAAAACAACTTGAAAAAATATACTAAGCCAGACTATTCCTTCGAACTGTTGTAAAGCTTTCTTATATCCACTGGGTATCAGGACTCAGTGACATTTATGTGTGCTTTTTTCTTTCTCTACAAAACTTAGTGTAAAACAGAGCACTAGGAGAGCCTGGGACTGAACTCCTTATTGAGGGGGAGAGGGACCAGCACACAAGCTGTGACTGAGGGGCAGTCACCAGCCCAAGGAAGAAGATGGCATGGAGATTCCTAGGAGGCCACCCCCTGCCACCATGCACACCCTGTGGGCATCTCTTTTGTCCATGTAATGTTTGTAACAAGGAACACATCTGAATTTTAAATTTGGGTTTATTTTTCTTCCGCTCTGCATTAGTTGCCTTATAAATGATTGTTAAATAAACCGAAAACAAGCACAAGAAGATAAAATTTTATTCTAAGACTTTATGAAAGAGCCTTTCCATAATTTGCAACTCTCATTCCTCCATGTCCTAGGTGTATGGGCCAGTGGAAAATCTGAGATTTCTGTACTTTAAGGACAGCCCATTTTGGGGTAGAACTGTAAGTCAGGGGAATGTCCATGAGGGCAAACAGTGAACAGCTAAGCACTGGCATCTAATTTGTCACTCGGTTTGCTCAGAAGCGGGTGCACATCTACCTTTAGCCCAGTCCTGCACCTCTGCTTGGCCAAAGATGAGGTAGAAAAACAGGCCTGCTATGTTCACAGCAGCTGAAAGCAAGAAGACATTCCTCAACCGAACTTTGAGTCCTGGAGGCAGGAAACTACGAGTTATTAACAGTCTCCTAGTTCTTGTCCCTCCTGGTTCAGAAAGGCTTTGGCACCATATTCTACCGCCCTCATCCCCAACTCTGCCCCACATTATATGTTCCTGGTTGTTCTTAGAATATGCAGGTATATTTCCGGTGCCCTGGCCTTTCCCTCTGCTGGAATACTCCTCCCCTCAAGTAGTCATTTCTCTTGCCCATGTACTTGCTTCCCATAAATATTACTTTTTCAATGAGACTTCCTTGGCCGCCCTACTTAAAACTGAAATCCCACCCCTCTTATGTGCCCTATTCTCCTCTCCGGCCCTACTCTTTTCTTAGCGCTTACCACCAATCACTATATCATGTTTTCGTTTAGTTCGTTAGTTTTCTATCGGTTTCTTTCCTACCGACTTCACAAGGGCAGGGACTTCTGTTTGTTTTATTCACTTAAACAGTGCATGGCACATTCTCATGTTCATTGCATATATGTCGAATGAATGAAGAGATAAATGAGTGAGTGAGTAATAAGGGAAACGAGCAGTTTGAGAATTTCCATTTTAAACAATGTTAGTCAGTGGCTGGAAGAGAACTGAAGCTTCAAAAAAAAAAAAGGACTTGGCGTCAAAAAGAATATACACTTTCTTTGTTGTTCTCCCTTCATTTTCCTGGCTTTACTGGTGGAGACCACAGGAAACTTAAAGAATGATAGTCGTATGAATGTCATATGCATGTTTCTTCACATAAAGTCTGTATCAGTCCAATTCTTATGAAATTGTCATCAGATGAATTCGTTTATTCTGACAACTTTAAATGCATCTCCCAGGATGGAAGCCTGTATGAATGTAAAAACACTATGTAAGCAATACTGGGCAGGGCAATTTCTGTACTAACCACTGATGAGCATACCTGTAATGTACAGGTTGCTCCTTCGCTCTGTCATTCACTCATCCACTCAGCATCTCGTTCATTTGTTCTATAAATATTTGTTGGGTTCCTACATAGGGTGACCAACTCTTTCCAGATTGCCTGGAACTTTCAAGGTTTTAGTGTTGCAAGTCCCACATCCCAGGAAACCCCTCAGCCCCAGCCAATCAGAATGGTTGGCCATTCTATACTTCACAAGAAAGGTCATGATTATTGCTAGAAAATGTGATGATTAGCATGAGAAACTCATTCTAAGAACTCATAAAGCATAAACTCATACAATAGAGCATTCTCCTTCACTCCGTACCCTGAACATGTGGTAATTTTTCTGCATGAGCTGAGCCTAGGGTCAGAATGAGAGGCTGGATGATCTTTTGAGGTGATCTTGTGAATATCATAATCATCAGAACATTTGACCTTACCTGACTGATGAAAAGTCCGGCAACTGTGGGAGAGATGGCTTCCGCTATGTAAGAAAAGATCTGTGATAGTCCCCTGAGTAAGGCACTGTACCTGCAAGAGAGAAAGTGTGAGAAAACAATATTCCTCTGTAAGCAAAGGGTTAATCTCAGCTGATCTGTTGCAACTCTATGATTATCTCTGGGGATTGCTGGAGTTGTGCTGTCCCTTAGTCAAACCTGAATGAAATGTACTGACTAGTGATGAGTATAATCCAGTGCTAGGATCTGGGATTTCCAAGGGGTAACCTGCACTAACTTGTCAACATTCATTATACAAAATGTACAGATTGATGGTTGGCAGCTGGTTTATATGTTCTCTTGTCTTCTGCTATGGAGCCTGATCTTTCAGCCTTGCTTTTAGGTATAAAAGACCTCCCATTGGATGAGACATTGGCTTCCCTGAGACCAAGGTATCTCCCATGTAATTTGGTGGTTCATTACCTGAAGATGAAGTTGTCCTATTGACTGTGAACGGTCCATGGATGGTCCCTGGGAGCTATATTTGGAAGTCTCAGTCATCTGATATTTACCTATATCAGAGGTGAATGTTTCTGCTGCTATCCTGTATCCTCTACCTTTATTAAAGCCTTACATGAGCACGCCCTCTGAAGTTTACGAGTCCTTTCAGTGATCCAGCCCTGTGTAACTGCTGCATTCCCTAACAGAAAGAAATTGGTGTGAGTCTCCCACAGTTGAACTGTGAGTGTGGCCACTGACTTCTCCTGTTTTCATCTGGAAAAACTAAGTTCACAGAGTTTGGCTAGCTTTGGGTCCCTTCCAGGAATTATTTGGATGTTCGGCTGGTGCTGAAATTTCCTGTGACCCATTGCATGTGTCACATTTTACCCATGTATCAGAGCAGGTTTAGGGATGATCACAGGTCCCTACTGAGGAGCAATATCCATGAAGTTGACAAGGGCTCCTGATTGGCTGAAGCTTTTGGTGGCAGAAGACAGTATCAAGAAGGCTATCGTGGCGCTGAAGCTGGATCTGACCCAGAAAAGGGACACGAAGAACGCAGATGGGAGGAGAGCCCCTGGGGCAGGAGAACAAACACAGTGAATAGGAAGCTTCCCTGAGCATCCCACATCCACCCAACCCCTGATGTCTACCTTGGTTCTTACCTGTGGCAGTGAAGAGTTTCCTGATGGTATTGAGTCTGAGGATTTTTCTGGAGAGGAGAAAATCTGCCAGTAGACCTCCAGGGACAATGCAGATACAGGCAGAAACAAATGGCAGGGCTGACAGCATCCCACTCTGAGAACCAGAGCTGAGGTGAGGTGCATGCCTCGCTACACCCACCATGACACAGATTGATCCCTGGGTGGATGGTCTACATCTATAACTTTTCTTTTATATACACATCACCTTTAATATGAATTTCTGGAATGAGCCAATATAATTTTAGTGCCTGAGGAAAAATATGCATACAGTTCAATTTAAAAAAAAAAATGGACCAATGCTGTCTTCATATATAAAGATCATGTAGAAATAGATATTAAAAATAACAAAAGCCAGTAGAAAAATAGTCAAAGGATATGAATGGACCATTTACAGAAAAAGAAAAATAAGTGATTTCTAAGCATATTAAAAGGTATCCACCCTCATAATAGTAAAACTACTGTGAGATACCATTTTATCAAACTGCCAAAAGTGCAACAGTTTTTTGACATGATCTGTGGTGATGCCAGGGGGAATCAGGTACTTCCAAATATTATCAATGCCCAATGGAGGGCAACTTGACAATAAATATAAAAGTTTATAGAGGCGATAGATCAAGATAGTGGAGTAAGAGGACGTGGAGCTCACCTCACCCCATGAAACATCAAAAATACATCTATGTGTGGAGCAATTCTCACTGAAAACAAACTGGAGACTGGCAGAAAGACTCTTATACAACCAAGTCTGTAAGAAAGTTTTGCATGTAATTGGGTAGGAAGGGAGAGAAGTGATCAGATCGGGACCTACGCCCCTGGGAGGGTACACAGAAGAGGAGGGGAAATTACACAGGCTGAGATCCTCCCTGGGGAGTGAGTGGTGAGAACCACTGAGCACTATGCCCTAGGGTCTGGCACGAGGAGGACAAGTCTCCTTAGCTGATTCGAAAAACTGGGATTGATAGCAGGACTATAAAAAACCAAGACTCCGCTCATGAAGAGCATGCACACACTGGCTTACTCCCAAAAAAAAGGCAGAGGAAGCAGATTGAAACTGATAGGGACTCTGGCTGGTTTCCCACCACTGCCTAACACACACCCCAGCCTGAGCAGAGCACCTGCTCCAGCCCCTCTTGCTCCCAGTGCAGCTTCACACTGGAGAGAGGGCTGCCATGGCTGAGAGGAGTATGCCGTTGTGAGGGAAAGAGGTAGCTCAGACTTAGCACAGCATCTGGACATTGCTGGTGCCTATGAAGGCAGAAGATCAGGAGCTGTCCAGGACTCCGACTAGTGCCGGCACTACCACGGTCTGCACTCCAACCCATACCAAGCACCCACTCCAGCTCCTCTTGCTCCAGCACTGTTCCCCTCTGGGTGAGTGTGCCTGTGCTGGGAGGGGGGAGAGCACACACTTAGAGGGAATGGAGCCAGATCAGACCAACCCTCAGGTCCTCTGACCCAGCAACGTGGAACCCACCCCCACCCTGATAGTGTGGTGTTGGCCACCAAACCGAGGAGAAGCCCAGGCTCACAACTGGCTCTTGCTCTAGCCCTTCTACCTCCAGCCCTACCTCCTACCCTGGTGATAGCTGCCAGCACACCATGGGGGAAGAGTGACTTATGCTCAACGTCAGATGTAGCTGTGCCACCAAAGACAATGGGCACATGTGAACTGCACAGGGATGCTTCCATACAAGGACACCCCTTCAATTCCAGGATAGCTAAGTGTTTCACCTAATTTCATAGAGACAGAGAAAGTTAAGCAAAATGAAAATATAGAGAAATTTAATTCAAATGAAAGAACAAGAGAAAACTCCTGAAAAAAACAAGTAATGAAACAAATAATGTACCAGATAAGAGTTCAAAGTATTAGTAATAAGAATGCTAACTAAATTAAAGAGTAGATGAACACAGTGATAATTTTAATAAAGAAATAGAAAACATATAAAAGAGCCAGCCAGAACCAAAGAATACAATAACTGAAATGAAAAACACAATAAAAGGAATTAACAGCTGACTAGGTGATACAAAAGAATGCATATGTGATCTGGAAGATAGAATAATGGAAATTGCCCAATCAGAGCTGCAAAAAGAAAAACAGAAGAGTTTAAGAGATCATTAGGATAACATTAAGCAAACCATGATTTGCACTATAGGAGTCCCAGAAGGAGAAGAGAGAGAGAGAGACAGGTCAAAAATGTATTTGATAAAATTATGGCTGAAAACTTCCCAAAGCTGCAGAAAGAAACAGATATCCAGATACAGGAAGCTCAGAGGGTCCCAAACAAAATGAACCTTAACAGACCTACACCAAGACATATCATAATTAAAATGGAAAAATTAAAGATAAAAAGAGAATTCTAAAGGCAGCAAGAGAAAAACAGTCATATACAAGGGAACCCCCATAAGACTATCAGCTGATTTTTCTGCAGAAACTTTGCAGGCCAGAGGTAGTGGCATGATATATTTAAAGTGCCGAAAAGGAAAAACCTGCAACTAGGATACTCTACCCAGCAAGATGATCATTTAGAATTGAAGGAGAGATAAAGAACTTCTCAGACAAGCAAAAACTAAAAGAGTTAATCAATACCAAACTTACCCAAAATGTAATGTTAAAGGGTCATCTCTAAGTGGAAAAGAAAAGGCTACAACAGGAAGTAAGAATCTATAGGAAAGCAAAAATCCCACTAGTAAAAGAAAATAGACAGTAAAGACTGGATCAACCACTTAAATAGGCTAGCATGAAGATTAAAAGACAAAAAATTGTAAAATCAACTATAAATACAATTAACAGTGAAGGGATACACATGAAGATGTAAAATATGACATCAAAACAAAAAACATGGAGAGGGGGAGTAAAAAATGTAGATCTTTTAGAATGTGTTTGAACTTAAATGACTACCAGTTTAAAACAAGTAGATATAAGTAAATATACATGAACCTCATAGTAACCACAAATTAGAAACCTACAATAGATACCAAAAAAATGAGTGAAAGGAATACAAGGATACCCCTTAAAAAATCATCAAACCACAAGGGAATAAACTAAAAGAAAAAGGAACAGAAAAGAACTATAAAAACAATCAGAAAACAAGAAACAAAATGACAATAAGTACATACCTACCAATAATCACTTAAAATGTCAATGGACTAAATGCTCTAATCAAAAGACATAAGGTGGCTAATTGAATTAAAAAACAAGACCCATCTGTATGCTGCCCACAAAGACTCACTTCAGAGCTAAAAACACATACAGATTGAAAGTGAGGGGATGGAAAAAGACATTTCATGCAAATGGAAATGACAAAAAATGGGGGTAGCAATACTCATATCAGACAAAATAGACTTTAAAACAAAGTTTATAACAAAAGACAAAGAAGGGCATTATATAATGATAAAGGAATCAATACAAGAAGATATAACACTTTCTAACATATATGGACCTAATATAGGAGCACCTAAATATATAAAGTAAATATTAACAGACATAAAGGGAGAAATTGACAATGATACAATAATAGTAGGAGACTTTAATACCTCACTTACATCAATGGACAGGTAATTCAGACAGAAAATCAATAAGGAAACAGTGGTCTTAAATGACACAACAGACCAGTTGGACTTACAGGACATTCCATCCAAAACCAGCAGAATACACATTCTTTTCAAGTGCACATGGAATGTTCTCCAGAATGGATCACATGCCAGGTTACAAAAGAAGTTTCAACAAACTTAAGAGTATAGCAATTATATCTGGCATTTGTTCCAACCACAATGGTATGAAACTAGAAATCAATTACAGGAAGAAAAATGGGAAAAACATAAACATGTGGAGACTAAAGAACATGCTACTTAAAAAAAAAAAAGGGTCAATGAAGACATCAAAGAGGACATAAGAAATACCTTGAGACAAATGAAAATGGAAACACAGTACTCCAAAATCTATGGGATGCAGCAAAAGCAGATAGTTTATGGCAGTATAGGCCTTCCTCAAGAAACAAGAAAAATCTCAAAATCTGGTATTTGAAAGAGAACGAAAAAAGCCCAAAGTCAGCAGAAGCAAGGAAATAATAAAAATCAGAGAGGAAATAAATAAAACATAGACCAAAAATAAATAAATAGCTATAGAAAAGATCAGTGAAACCAAGACTTGGTTTTCTGAAATGGTAAAAAAACTTGATAAACCTTTAGCCAAGATCATCAAGAAGAAGAGAGGATCCAAATAAACAAAATAAGAAATGAAAGAGGAAAAATACCACCCAATACCACAGAGATACAAAAAAATCATAAGAGAATACTATGAACAGTTATATGTCAACAATTTGGACAACCTAGAAGAAATAGATAATTTCTAGAAACATACATGACTGAACCAAAAATAGACAATCTGAACAGACCAATCACTGGTAGTGAAATTGAATTCATAATTTAAAAAATAACTCCCAGTAACAAAAGTCCCAGACCAAATGGCTTCACAGGGGAGTTCTACCAAGCATTAAAGAAGAGCTCATACCTATCTTTCTCAAACTATTCCAAAAACTGGAAGAGGGCGGAATACTCCCAAATTCATTCTATAAGACCACCAGTACCCTATACCAAAATCAGACAAAGACACTAAAAAAAAAATTATAGGCCAATATCTCTGATGAATATAGAAGCAAATATCCTCAAAAAAATATTAGCAAACCAAATTCAACAATATATAAAAAGGATCATACCCCATGATAAAGTGATTTATTCCAGGAAGGCAAGGATGGTTCAATGTTCACAAATCAATCAATGTGAGACATCATATTAACAAAAGGAAGGATGAAAATCACATAATCATCTCAATAGATGCAGAAAAAAGAATGTGGCAAAACTTAATATCCATTCATGATAAAAACTTCCATCAAAATTGGAACATAACATAATAAAGGCTGAGAAAACAGGGCAGATTGGAGACAGGAATGAGAGTAAGATTTTTCAGTCTTTTACCTTTTTATATATTTTTTTTAAATGTTGATCCCTGTTTTTATCAATTCAACTCCTAAATTAAATTGCCATTAAAGAAAATGCAAGGAAAGGAGGCCATTCTTTGTTGTATGTAACCCAAACAATGAAAAGGATTTCACTGTCAACTTGTCCGAGATGTTTATTTTACATATG